AACTAATGGGAGAAAGAAGAGAAAGAAGAAACAAACAAAAAAAATTAGAGAGCAAATAGTATGCTTCAATCTTCATTCAGTCTCCATAGTTCTTTTTTCTGGATGTGGATAGCATTTTCCGTCATGAGTCTTTTGGAGTTGTCTTAGATCCTTGCATTGCTAAGAAGAGGTAAGTCTGTCAAAGTTAGTCATTGAATAATGTTACTGTTACTGTGTACAAGGCTGTTAAATTCTTAATGGAGGTGGTAGAGAATAGATAGAAAGAACTGTAAAAGCAAGATGATTTCACTCAGCCATGACATTCTAGTGGCTGCATTTCATTGCATCCTGTGTGGAATTCCTGCCGATTTTCATAGAGAACTTTTTGGTAAAGTGGATCCTTCCCTCATTTCAGAAAATTAGGAGCTGAAAGGATTGTTTTAATGGTTCCTAAAAAGCCCGCAAGCCCCACCTGTCTCTAGCTAGTGTCTCTTAAGTACCACCTAGCAAAACATTGAGAACACGTAGATTGTCAAGCCTTAGTGTTAGGCAAGTCTGTACTAGTGGATAGCACATTTATGTGGTGTCCACATATCTTGACAAACATTCTGCATACTTATCTTGCTGGGGAGCATCCACAGAGTGAGGTAATGAGTTCTTATTTCACAAGCTTTAGGCTCAGGACCAATCACCTGTGTTCACTAAGTGGAAAATGTGATATGTGGGTTATCACAGACTTGAGAATAAAATGGTTAAGTCTGATGGCAGCAATAATTACTTATTGAGAAATCTTTTTTTCTTGTGAAGAGAGATAAAACCATACCCTTTGCTACGCATAATTTTCTGTTTCAAACACAGTAGAAAAATATCCACTATGAGTTCATGTCTGAAACTTACAGCTTTCTTTGGAACATCCTCAGTTGCAGTGCTTACCTCACCATGATGCTTGGCAGATCTTTTTCTCATCCTGTACTAATAGAGGTAGAACCTTTTATGCCTATGGCACATTTCTTCAACATACTACTATTTAAACAGAGTGATTTCATAAAGTCCTTGCGTAGTTGTCACATGAACAAATTTTGATAGGCATATCCAATCAACAAGCATTTATTAAGCACTTACTCTATCCTTGGTATTCTGCTAATCCCTGGGAAAACAAATATAAGCAGAAGGACAGTTCCTGCTCTCAGAGAAAGAGCTTACAATATGGGCAGAAAATAAAACATAAAAGGAAACTGAAAAGGGGATGTGGTGCCAATGTAAGGCCCTGATTAAAAAAAAAACAACAGTCCACAGGGTCAGGAGTTTAGTACGGAGAGGAATGAACATATCATTAAAATGGATGCTCTAGACAGAGAGGAATGAACATATCATTAAAATGGATGCTCTGGAAAGAACTAGCCAATGAGAGGAAGGCACTACAGGGTACTTCCAGTGTGAGGTGTCCAGGTTAGAGTCAGGGGTGTTTTTGAAATGTTTAACAACTAGCTTGGGGTTTAGGATGTAGCATTATACACTTTTAAGTTTTATTTGAATTATTAAAATTTTCTCCATCACTTTATTAAGTTTAGGCAATCATCAAGACGATAAATAAAACTTTGATTTGCTGATTTCTAAGGTATAAATGATTATTCTGAAATTTTAACAAATGGCTATCATGAGCCAGTTCAAACTGGCTTTAGTACATCTGTGGGTACAGTGAACTTCCAGCGTAACGTTGTTTCTATGGAATGATTATAATAAAGTTGATTAGACTTGTTATGATAGGAACAATCTGTAAGGAACATTTAAAGACAAATTGAATTGACATATAGCTGATGGGGATTCAGTGCTGTTAGCTTTAGGTAGAGGTATAACTAGGACAGGGTGATGGGGATGTGGTCTCAAACACTAAAATTTGGTGAGTGCTAACAGCACTTGCATTTCTTTCCAGCATAGACGCAAATGGACTTAGCACATAGCTAGCACATAAACAGAGATCTACCAATGTTTATTTCCACTGGTATTGCAGCTGAATCTCTTTTTTGGCCTAGCTATACCCTGTCTCTTCTTCCTACTCAGGTGGCAGTTGTATAGGGCATTTCTGCTGCAGGTCAATGTCCAAGGATCTATTCTTGCTACAACAATTTATCTTTTTAAAAAAGTTGATTTGAGGGCTCATCTTGTATTACTTGCCCTGGGTGCCAGAATTGTTAGTTATAGGTGTAACCACAGGATACAATATATCTGACATGCCACAATAGGGCCTTTCCATTTCTGTGTGTCAGAGGATGTGAAACAAGAATACATTAATTGTGTAGTGTACCTACCCTAAGCTATACATGCTTTTAATGTCACTTACAAAATTTTTCTTTAATATCTATAACCTAAGTTGTTGAGGTTTCAAAGTATGCTAAAGCTTTAGATTAAAATCTGAGGACAGAAAAAGGTTTAGGAAGAGAGAGCCATAGGGAATGGTAGGATAGGAGCTTATGATTATATAGAATAAGTAAAGAGCTATACATTTTGGAGGTAAAACACTTGAGGTTGATGAGGAAATCAAGTCATGACCATATTGAACTGAGGAAAACTGGAGGGGAACCCAAGATGGAGGGAGTTAAGTCTTTTTCATATTATTTCCTTGACTGGACAGTAAACTTGCTAAGGGCAGGAATAATAAATTACTGAATATAGCTCCAAGCATTGAATCTTACATATACATCAGCATAGGATCATAGATGTAGAGTTTGTAGTGGGGCATTATCCAATTGCTCTAATTTTATAATGAAAAAAATAAATAAACCTGAAGCACAAACAGTGTCAGAAAAGTAGCTTGTCCAGGGTCACACAGTAAACAGCAGAGTCAAATGGGTTAAACCTGGAGCCCTTTGAACTGGATTCTAAATACAATACTTTATTATATCACACTGCCTCATGGAATAGGCATGCAGTAAATATTTGTTGCTGATTGCTTTCTTGTTCAGTATGATCCTTTACCCCTGTATTTGTGGACCTGGTACTTTTTATGACAAGATAAATGGACCAGCGCAATTGTTTATAATGAATTCATGTATGATGGATTTTTCCAAAGCTTCCACAAAAGCACAATGTTTTTGAATGCTGGAGTCTACTGGGAGACAGTCATTATGTCAATATAAAGTATTATTGAATCCAATAAAGTGAAGATTAAGACTATATTACACTTAAGTTCTTATTTGAGGAAAACTCTCCATTAGTCTAAAAATTAATTGGAATCATGCCATGACAAACATTATAGAATTGAATTTTTAACAGATCAAATGATGTTTTAAATAGTGTAATCTTTTATGTATGGAAGAATGTTTATAATATGACATCACACTCTTACTCTAGGCATATTGCAAATCTCTCTTGCAGTTGTGCTAATAGGAGGAAATTAAAACAGTTTGTTATCTATGTGATCATAATTAATTTAAACTCAATTTTACTAATATCATTCCATAAGTAAGGCATCTAATGGATATAAAACATTAGGAAGTAGTTTTGACAGATTGGGTGGCTGAGCAGGAGAAGGCTAGTGACTATGCATTGATAGCTAGTAATTCACATAATTTGATCAGTCCATCCCACATACCTGGATGGCATTTCTTCCTCATCTCTGTCTTGCCATTAGGTTCAGATGGCTCTGAAGGAGAAAGTGAGGCTGGTAACTTTGCACAACTCTCTCTCATTTAAATCCAATTCACTTGCAAGTCATGGCCTCATCTTCCTGATGTCATGGTCCTCTTAGAGAACAAAAGACAAACAACTTTGAAACCTAAAGAAAGAGAAGGGTTCTCAAAACATGATGATGAGTTTAGAAGGGATCAGCTTTTCCTGGGAGGGACATCTTGTTGAAACCAGGCATAGCTGCAGATGGGAAGTGGATACCATATTCCTTCCTTCCTTCCTTCCTTCCTTCCTTCCTTCCTTCCTTCCTTCCTTCCTTCCTTCCTTCCTTCCTTCCTTCCTTCCTTCCTTCCTTCCTTCCTTCCTTCCTTCCTTCCTTCCTTCCTTCCTTCCTTCCTTCCTTCCTTGTAAAAATGGTAACACCATTATCTATGGTAGCTGCATCTGCAGGTATCAAGGCATTATAAGTACTCACAGAGATTAGGATAACCTGAGTTGCCTTCTCAGTAGGAATAGTATCTTTGTTACCTTTGATTGCCTTTGTGGTTCATTTTCTTCCTTTCAAATGCAGATTTGTTAACTTGTTTCACAATAGAAATAGGATTATAATTTGGATGACTGTAAATAAGAGGGTAATACAGATACTTGGTACCAACAGATAGGTTAACTAGAGTTATATAAGAGTGCTGAATGAATTGAGTAGAGTCAGATTGGTACTCAACCTCAGTCATAAACTAGGCTTTGAAGACATACATTGATGGCATTTTCCTGTTCTCCAGGAGTTTATGTTTATCTAAGAAGGGATGGAGAACCTGTGACCTTGAGGCCACTTGTGGCATTCTAGGTCCTTGGGTGCAGCCTTTTGACTGAGTTCATGTTTTACAGAACAAATCCTTTTATTTAGTGAATTTGTTCTGTGAAGTTTGGATTCAGTTAAAGGGTCCCAGTTGAGGACCTAGAGGGCCACATGTGGAACCAAGGCCGCAGGTTCCCTGCCCCTGATCTAAGGCAAACATGTTATATTGGTCAATCCTCCCCCCTCCCCCAGCAACAAACAAATAAAACCCAACAAAAATCAAATAATTGCCAGGAAAAAAAAATATATACAACAAAATAAAACCTGGCCTAAGAATTCCACTTCCACTTTAATTATTTGGACTAAAAACTTTTTATCTACCCCTTCTGGAATCAAAGTATTGCTCAAAGTCCTGGGCACTGGAAATTATAGTATTTTCTCAAGCCCTCATTAAAATACAAACTTCTGACTTTTAGGAAATAAAATCTAAAATATCCTGCAGGTGTGATATGTACATTTCCTAACCTTGATCTTTGTTATACTCTTATTTAGTTTTGGCTTTGAGAAATCTGAACTGATTGTTTTTCTGTTTCCTCAGATTCATGCATCTGAAACCTACAGACCAAACAGGAGCATATTAATGAAGTTTTTCAGTGTTTGTTAATCACTGATGGCATGCTTTGGAAGTGCTCAAAACAAAGGTAAACACCATTGTTGCGTAGCAAGGGAATGTCTGATTTCAATAGACAAAACAATTAGATATAAACTATACCAATGCCAAGTATTTCAGAGGAAAAGATTTCTTAGCCATTACGCTGATGACTGGTAATATGTGGGAGGGGACACTTTGTCAGAATAATGGTTTTGATGACTAATATTTGATTAGCTTTATTATAAAAATGTGTAATAAACAAACCTTTCTACTATTGGGAAATGTTGACTCTTAACATTGTCAGTGACTTGCTAAAACTTCAAACAGATCTTCAAAGTGTAAGGAACAAGTGAGGGTCAAATTATAACATAACATGGTTTTGGGGAGGTAAAATTGTTACATCACATAGTTTTGGGGAGTAATCTTCTATAATTCCTTAGCTCCTGCCAAAAACAGGTGCACATACTGAAACCAAGCGTAAACAGATCATTCTGTCAATGTTATGTCAAAGTTATTGATACACCTAGGTCATGATAAACTTACTAGTAGAGAAATAATGGGATGAAAGTTCCAAAAAAAAATAGTCCTATTGAGATAGTTCTGAGAAATAGTTTTATTATGCACAAATTACTTTTATATAACTATAAAAAGAGTGTTCTTGCTGATTTCTCTCCTTAGTCTCACCGGGCTGTGTTCTGCATGCTCCTATTTTTATCTTTTCAATAAACTGTATTATTTTGAGGATTATCTCCATATAGGTTTATTTCAACCTAACAATTTGATGTAATTGGCAATATTCCCAGGTACTAGAGGGCAGTGAACAATCTCTCTGTGGGTAATTGTGGGAACTTTCTAGCAGGTAAGAGACCTTGACTGTCTACAAAATCTCCCTGCTGGGACTCTGCTAACTATCTGGTTCCTTAGGAAGTAAAGACATGTGAAGAAAATGGAGACTAAATATGGTAAAACTGGAAAACGAACAGCATGGGATCTAGAGAGATCTGGCCTGGTATGATAAAAGTGGAAAAATGGGCAGCATGGGATCTAAAGAAAGCTGGTCTGGGCTTCTATTGGTTAACATGGCACCGAAATATGAGAAGCCTATATGTTGCTGGCAGGTATCTCTATCTCAAGAGGTTAATATCTCACTGTCATATCTGGAATGCTTATACTTATGGAAGGCCAGATTTAAAAGGAGGTTCATTTGAAGAATGAAAGCTGGTTTATTTAATGGGACTTTTAGAAACCACACACCCAAAGCAAATGGATTATTGGTATCTTTGGGATGGGTATTATACCTCTAACAAACAAGAATGATTTGGATGATCAGAAAGAAAAAGAAAAAAAACTAAAGACAATGCAGGAAGAAAAGAAACAAAAGTTCTGTCATTGAACCCTCCATTCAAATAGGACTTTCAATTGAAAATTAGGCTTTTTTGGTTAATCTCTTGGGAAGAGGTTTGATGTATAATTTAGGATGACCATATTCTGTACCCTAGAAGGAATATTTTTGGAGCACCTGAGAGAAAAGACACCTGATTTAGTTACTAATGTACCTTCTGTTATGGAGTGGGGTGTATGTGTGGAAGTTCTACCCCATGCTGGAGAAGCACCCTGAATTGAGAAAAATTGATTCTGTATTGTGAACCTATTCTGGTAATGATAGTGACTTGATAAAAGAAATTAATCTAGTTGTGATTAGCTATTACAGAGATAAGCCATAGCCATCAATAGATTTGGAGAAACAAGGAGTTGTCCAAAAGTCAGAGTCTCCATATGATGCCCCATTTTATCATTAAGAAAAGAAAAATTAGATGAAGGAGGTTGATCAATGTATCAGTTTTTTCAAGATTCAAGAGTTGTAAATAAGTAAATATTCCTATGATTTCTGTTGTTCCAAATCCTGTTACTCTTTTTCTGTACCTTCTACCATGGTTCTTTTTAGTAGTTGATCTACATTCTGTTTTCTTTTCTATTAGTTGAAGACTTTAAATTCTTCTTTGCCTTTACTTGTGGGGGAATCTTAGTATGGATGGCAAAGAATTTCCCAAGGGTTTTATGATTCATCTGCTAACTTTTCTAGACCTTGCAGGAAAATGTAAAGCCCTATTGTCTTAGGAAAGGGCAAGAAAAGAGTGGGAACATTTTTTTTCTGCTAAAATTTTTAAGCTTTCAAAAGATATGCTCTCATCTTTGTGTTCCTAATTCTGGCCAAATTGGGAATGCAAAGAGAGCAAGAGATAAGAGAGAAAGAGATCCTTTCCCTCTTTGCAGAGATTTGTAGCATTTGCAAACTAAATAGAGGCTGAATTTGGGAACTGAAAGGAAATCTGTTTACCAAATTGTGGTGAAAATCTGAAAGATCCTAGTGGGATTTTGGGGTTGCAGCACCCTAGGACTAAGGAACATATAAACAGCAGACTCTTCTATCACTCTCTCTTCCCAAGTGAATGACAGATTTATGGTTTTAGTGTAAGGGAAGAAGGTGATTTCACTGACCAGAGAATAAACAGAACTGAAGCCATTTTAAAGTTTTATCTCCAGTGAAGTCTAAAAGTGAAAAATAAAATAGCTTTGTGGTTTTAAAGCATTCTCTGGTGCTTAAGAGCCACCCATTATTGTCTCTTCTTCCCATCTTGGAAGGAGAAAGGATTGTTTCAATTAGAGAGTAAAATGATTGGGGAGTAAGCAAAATCTCATTTTAAGACTGGTGAATAATTTGGTGAATGAATTTAATTGCATGGGCAAATTACAAACAAAATCACCTAAAAAGAATTAGAATAAATTGTGCATTTGAAAGTTCTAAAGACACCAAATTTGAAATTTTTTCTTGACAATTTGAGAAACTGTTTGTAAACTTTGAAGTTTCTCTTTTGGGCAAAGCATAAATTTTTCAGTTGATTGCATTGTGTGATAAAACTTTTCATAGGTGTAAACTCTAAAGAAAAGCTGACAATTGAGCAAAGTAAATATTGCAGAAAGTATCAGTGAAGTTTCGTATCATTTTGATAAGAAGAGAATAGGAAGATTTTCATGCTTATAAAATTCTTATTCTATATTGAAATAGGGCTTATTTCTGCTTCAGATAGTTCAAGTTAATTTTGAGATTTCTCTTGATCTCATATTTATTTCACCAATTTTGATATTCCCATTGATGTGAAAAAGTAAGGGGGAGTGATGTAACACAATTTAAAATTGAGCAATTTAAGATTTGGATTTATAATGGGCTTTGATAAATCAATTATGGGAAATCAACTGTTGATGCCACTCTTGTACCTATGAGAACAATTTGATCTATTCTGGTCTCTGAATAAGCTAGTATAGAATGACCAAATTGATAGAAAGATGAAATTAATTTCTAGGAAAGATAATTCATAAATGCATTCAATTGAATTGATGTCATCTGATAGGCAGTAGATTTTGTTTCATGTTTTAAGTCTATAATATTGTTTTGTGTTATTATTATACTTCTGAGTGTTTGCACTGTGATTTTGAGAAACCATTGTATAAGAAATGCTGTTAATTTGAAAAATCATACCTACAGTACACTGCATTGATATTTTGGGAGATTAGCTTCTCTTTTGATCTAATTGTTATGAAATTATGAATTTGATCACTCACTTATTAGAGACTTTTGTCATTATGGTTTCAAATATGTCATAAGTCTTTAATTAGATATATTTTGCTTTAAATTAAATAATAATAATTACTTAGGGTTTGGGAAAAAATATAAAAAGCCCTTGTAAATTCTCATTATCTATAAAGTTCTTTGGAGCCTTGCCAGGTTCTCTGAACCTTCAGCCTTGACAAGGTCATAAAATCTTGCTAGCTATGTGAAAGAAGTGGCTGTAAGAAAGTATGTGAGTAACAAGAGCCTTGTCTAGTGATTGATTTTTGCATCAGGATGTTATTAAACTAGAAAGAAAAAAAATGCTATATGAATGTTTTTGTAAAGACCTTATATGTACTTAACAAGTACTGAAGATAAATGTTATTTACTGTTAACTAACTGCTATAGCAACAAAAAGGGGGGGGGGAAGCACTTTACCCTTCTCTAAATTTGCACAGTAGAACTTGTTGTGTGAAGTAGAACTGTAATTTGATTTGATTCAAGTTTTAAATTTTAGTATAACTGTTTCAAATTATTGTTTAGCAAGTAATCTGCTGTTCAAGGGAAAAGTCACTAGCTCCTCAAAGGAAGTATGATTTGAAGTTGTACAGGTGGATATAGGGAGATGGCAAGTTTAGAAGATGCCTTACAAAGGTAATAGAAAGATCCTCTTGACTCAGTTTTCCCCACCATTTCCTTTTTGAACAGGAATATTTCCCACCTCATTGATTCTGGGTCCAGTTATGATACCCTAAGAATAATTGTACTACTGTATTGCATGAATGGCTATTCCAGAAGGTATCTATGACTTCCACCTGAAATCAAACAGAGCTAAGGGAAGTTAGTCCTGCTATACCTATGCTAGGTCAGTCTGTGACTTTAGGCTTAGATATAAGGGATGTTTTGATACTGTTACAGCCATAACTGTATCCTCTTTTTAATAACAAAGTTCTCTCACCATGGAAGAGAACTGCAAAGTTTATAATGGATTTTATTTTTACAAATATCAAACATCTCTGAACCATTATAATAGGAAGCAAGTATAAAGAATTCTATTGTGTTGTTTTTCCTGTCCTTAATTTATAACCAATTATTGTCAACTTCCTTGCCTAGGCAGTTAGACACTTTTGGAAAGGTCTAATGGCTAGAAAGTTTTTTTTTTTCCCTTGACATCGTCTAAATTTTTCTCTTCGTAGCTTCTATCCACAGTTGCTGTTTCTGCTCTCTTCGGACCAAAACTCGAGATTCAATCTCCCACCAGAAGCACAAATGCCCTGTACTACATCCCTCCAAAATGATCATCCATCTGCCTTTGAAAGACGCCAGTGAAGGGGGCAGCTAGGTGGTGCAATGAATAGAGCACTGGCTATGGAGTCAGGAGAACCTGAGGCCAAATCCAGCCTCAGACACATAACACTTACTAGCTGTGTGACCCTGGGTGAGTCACTTAACCCCATTACCTAGCCTTCCCTCCTCCCAAAAAAAAGATTCCAGTGAAGAAGAATTTCACTGGCCTCTGAGGCAGTCATTTTGGGACAACTTTGGTTGTTAGGAAGTTCTTTTATTTTCTTTAACAAGTAAATACTCAAATCTGTGATACAATGTAGATAATCCTCCCAAATATATGGATCATTGTTAATCAACCAATCAACAAGCATTTACTTTAAGAGCTTACTTTATTCCAGATTCTCTGTTAAGTGCTGAGGTTACAAAGAAAAAGTAGAACTAGTTTGTCATCTGGGACTTTACATTCTAATGGGGGTGACAATATAACTAAATCAGAACATGCATGGTAAGTATTAAGTAGATGCATGCTAACCTTAGAGGAGATGGCACTATCATCTGGGAGTGCCAGGTAAGAGCTCCTGGGGGCGATAGTGGTTAAGTTACAAGGGAAGTTGGAGGTTTTAAGAAGCTGAGGTTGAGGAGACTATTCTAGATATAGGAATTCAGCTAGTACAAAGACAGAAAGGTGGGTGGTGATTGAGTAGCATCAAATATACTAGTAGAGCTGGGATATAAAGTACATGCAGTGGGATAGAATGTGAAAAGATTGGAAAGGTAGGAAGCAGCCTTATATACCAATCTATTTTAGACATAATTTCTTCCTTTTTTTGAAAAGCAGGAAAAAAATGTGCTCCTCTCTAATCTTGTGCTATCTTTCCCATGTTCCATGGAATTTCATGTATCACTGAAAGTGGCTTAGCAATCATTTCTTTCAGTACTTTCAATATTTGAGACATTTCACCTTTACTAAGTGACAAATTCATCAAGGGAAGCTAGGTGTTTTTATTATGACCATCATTTTTCTTGAGTATTAAATCTAATTTAATCATTTTTTGTCTATTATTTCCAGTGCATTTCTTCTTGGAGGAAAAAACATAAATCAAGAATTTGAGCAGCTTTTGCCTTCCCTATGACATCAGTTCTTATAGTCCCATCCGCTTCAGTAAATACCCTTCCTCCTTTTATTTCTTAATATAGCTAAAAAACTTTTCATTGTCCTCGTCTTCTCTAACTAGGCTTATGAGCTTTAGTATTCCTAATACTATTTTTATAGAACTCTGCTCTTCTTTTATATTCCTCTTCTCTTATGCAGCCTAGATTCCATCATCTGTATGTCACAGAGTTAGGGGGATGGTATGGTGACTAGGATTGTACAACCACTCCTTATAACTATTGACTTCTTGTCACCCCGATGGATTTCCTAATATAAATGCTCCTTTTCCACTCTGGGAAGTGGATCTATAATTATCTTTATTTTTTGTTATCTCCAAGCCCTAAGCTAGAGACAGGATTTCTGACAAAATACTTCAAGTGTTAGAGCTATCTGTCTTTTCTCTAGGAATGTCCAACCCTCGGCTGCCTTCCCACAACTGTATTCCCGATTAGTATACTCTACCTAAGACCATGCCAGCGGTCTGAAAAAGCTCTCATGAAGAAGTTCAAGAGAAGAGAGGAAAGTCTGTACCCCAGGATATTTCCAGTAATATAGCTTCTTGAAGTCTGTAGCCCAGGAAATTTTCAATAACACAGCTTCTTTCCCAACACCCCTTGTGCCTGATCAGCCCAAATGATCTCCCTACTAGAGTCATGGATTCTTTCCTTTTTTTTAATAAAAAAAATTTATTAATTTATTTTGATTTATCAACAATGATTTCCATATGCTTTTGAGTTTAAAATTTTTCTGCCCCTTGCTCACCCCCACCCTCCCCAAAACGGCACACAATCTGATATAGGCTTTACATTTACATACCCATTAAACATATTTTCACATTAGTGAAGTTGTAAGTAAAAATTAAAACCAATAGGAGGAACCATCAGAAAGATGAAACAAAACTCAAAAGAAGGTAAAAACAAGTGATAGCGATTTGACTTCCATAGTTCTTGGATTCTTTCCTTACGGTGATTGCTCTTGCCTTTTCTTTTGTTCTACCAACTTCATGTGACTTCTCACACCTTCCCATTCTGCAGCTCCATGCATCTTTGAGTATCTCTCCTATATTCAATGAATTAATTTTTGTAGATCACCTGGGGGGGTGGCCTATTTTTCTTTGTCATATCCTTGCCTTTCTGATTTCCTGGGCACTACCCCCCTTTCTGCATTTTTACATTTAGTGGAACACTTGTTATCTGACCCCCTTTCTGTGGTTATGTCTAAGAAAAATCAACTTCGTTAGATTATTTTATTTTTGTCTTCAGAATTCCATTCTTGAATATCTTTAATCTCTCCTGGGATGACCTTTCCTATAGCATTTCAGTCCATGGGGTCCTGCCTATCTTTCCTCTGAACATTTTGAAATCTACTTTTTTAAATGTCAGACTATGTGGTATTTAACACTCTAGGAGGAAAGGGTTACTACTCTACTCCTCTCTCCATATTTGAAGTCCAGAAATCCAAATCCCATTCACATATACCACCTTATTAGCCAGTTTTTCAATTTACAAATTAAAATTTCTCTTCTGCATTCCTTAATTTCAATAGGAAACAGTGGGGAAAACACAACCTCTACCCTTGTGATTTTATTTATTTATTTATTTTTTGTGCAAGTCTTCATAGTTTTGGCAATATTTTTTAATTTCCTTCTGGCAGTTTCATGGATCTCCAATGAATTACCAGAAGTAGGTAGTTGTCATCCATTTTGATAAAAGTTGAGGTGTTCTCTCTTATGGCTTAGGTGTATGTTCTGGAAAGATGATAAACAAAAATAAAAACCTCTTAATCATTATCAGGTCAACAAATAGCTGTTTCAGTACCCTTGAACAAGAAATCACCAACTATTACTACTCTTCTTCCCTCCACACCATTACTGGATGACCCTTTACCTGATAGCTTCTATGACTATACGATATCATTCTTTGAGAGAGTTGCAGCTTCTTTCTTCTCAGAACTTCTTCCTCTATCCTCATCAGGAAGAGAATAAAATCTGCTTGTAAAGTCTACTTATACACCTATCCTTTTCCTTCCCTGTGTTCTCTATGTCATATGCTGCTATTTTCCAACATACTAAAAAGTTTCCTTTCCTCTTAGCATGCTTTGGAATTTTTTTTCCTTCTCAGGTTTCAACATTTCTGTTTCTTTTAGGAACTCTTCATTAGTCCTAAAAACATGGAGTGTGAAAAGCTTTTTTTTTTTTTAATTCCTTTTCACCTTCTTCTCCAAGAGGTTGATCAGCCTACATTTGGAACACAGATTATTAATTCCTTGCCTATGGCAGATGACAAACATAGCACACATTTGGTGAAGGTCACATAACAGTGTTTTTCATTCTGGTTGAGATTTTTTAATCTTTTTAAAAAAACTACTTGTGGGTGTTTACATATCAACACTAAATACCTAGTTAAATCTTTAATAGCCAATTATCACTTCTTAATAACTTGAGAATTTCACTCAACTTTCTTTCTTTAACTTAAACAACTTGACAGCTACATCCAATTCACCTTCATCCTTTCACCAACTTCCTATTTCACCAATTTGCCATACCTACCAATCCACTCTACATCTTTGTTTTTACTCTCTATTTACACTCCCATTTTATTACCTTGCTTTGTCTTGCCAACTACCTTCTCCTTCTTGAGTACTCCTTCAGGATCTACTCACTAATCCTACTTGATTCTCCTTAATCTATTATATCCTCCTTAATTATCCTAACTCCTGATCTTCTTTTAAAATATTCTGAAGATTTGTCTCCTTAATTTTTTATAAGTTCCCTGAAATTTCACAAAATTTTTCTTCTACAAATTCAAATTCTGATCTACTTCACTGATGCACTCCCTCTAAGTCACTCTTGTAATTTCCTTCTTATTCAGCTCAAGCCCTATCTCTTCCACTCCTCCCAAAGAATCTATAAGTTATTTCTTTTAAACTCCCAACCCTGGATTCCTTCATGATTGATCTTAGCTTTCTTTGCTTTCCTTTTGTCTTTATATCAATCATTCCATAGCCTTCCAAAGACTGAACTTTCTATTTTGTTTTTCAATTTTATTTTCAGTTCCAAAATTCTCTCCCTCTTCTGACCCTCTTCATCATCCATTGAGAAGGCAAGAAATACAAAACACTTTTAAAATATGAAGCCATGCAAAACAAAGTCCCACATTAAAGTGTTTAAAAGAAAGCAAGAAAAAAAGAGAAAAAGAAAAACAAAACAAAACAATGCTTCAACTTGTACCCTGAATCCATCAATTCTTTATCTGATGGTAGATAGAATTGCAGTGAATCATTGTGTTGGTCAGTTACTAAGTCTTTCATAGTTGATTAGTTTTAAGATATTGTTGTTACTACATAAAATGCTCTGGTTCTGCTTACTTCACTCTCCATCAGTTTATATTTCCCAAGTTTTTCTAAAACCATTCCTTTCATAATTTCTTACAGCATAATATTGTCCCATCACATTCATATATTATAACTTGTTCAGCCATTCCCCAGGTGATAGGCATCCCCTCAATTTCCAATTCCTTACCATTACAAAAAGAGATGCCATAACTATTTTTGTAAGTATGGGTTCTTTTCCTCTTTTTTTTTTATCTCTTTGGTCCATGGACCTAGTAGTGGTATTGCTCTACTCCAAAGAGATCAAAGAAAGAGGAAAAAGATCTAATAATAGTATTGCTGGGCAGCTAAGTGGCACTTTGGATAGAATGCCAGGCCTGAAGTCAGGACAACTCATTTTTCTTGAGTTCACATCTGGCCTCAGACATTTACTAGCTGTGTGACTCAGGGCAAAGCAATTAACTCTGTTTGCCTCAGTTTCCTTATCTGTAAAGTAAGTTGGAGAAGCAAATAGCAAACCATTCCAGTGTCTTTGCCAGGAAGGCCCCAAATGGAGTCACA